TAGTCCTAATCAAGGTTCAAAATTTTGTCACGTATTGAATTTTATTGGCCTATACGTATCGTATTGGTGACCCACTGATATGCCAATATGAATGTTTTGGTATTTTGACCTATTTCAGGGGGTAGAGAAGCCTAGGCCAACCCTTTGAATAGGTTTTGAAAAAAAAAATTAAAACAAAGGAAGAGTGTGGGGTCAAATTCATGTGACATATCAATCCTTTGAACCTTGGTCCTAATCAAGGCTTGAAATATCAATACTATATGTCTAATACAGGATAATATCGGTATCTAAAGACATGGGCATGTGACACGAGTGAATTAGATACACTTACGTAGATTCTACCCATACCATATATATATATATATATATCACATTGTATTGTAAGATATAGATAATACCAAAAGATACATGGCACTAGTAAGCGAAATCTCCAATATGTGGTAATTGACATAAAAAATAAAAATAAAATAACTATATCAATATTTAGTGGGTATTGATTGAAAACTCTGAATTACATATTATATGTATTTTAGATATTACAATGCACCTTATATATTTTTAAACTAAATTTATGTATTTCCATAATTTATTAATTAATAATTTAATCCACAATATGCAACATAATGATTATTTGAAGAAATAGAAAATTATATAAAAATATTAAATAAGTAAATATCAATTTATATTGAACTTTTGGTTAGACCCATGATGTTTTAAGCTTCTATTAGTTATAAATCAATGGGTTTTTGCCTAAAAAATTAGGAAAATCCAAAAATTATAAAAATGCTTTATCCTATGTCTTAAATGATATTCATGGTACTAAAATAATTTATTTTAATAAATAAAAAGTTAAACATTATTTGATATATTCTTAGTAAAGTTTTTAATATGATATATAAATGTTCAACCTCTTATTAGTAATATTGTTGTATGATATATTATTAGTATATGTCTCTTTTGTATTTATACCTTATACTTATTTGAACCTTAGATTTAGTGTTATTAATGTATTTGTGGGATTTACAAGAGATTGTCTTATGCATCTAAATTTGTCCATATCTTTTTACTGTATCCATGCATATCCAAAACGCATCCCGATATATATTTGAATTCAAACTTTTTGATACAATACCTAATACTGCTAATCTATACCTCCGCTTTAGTCACCATGATTTTGGGTGATGCCATCCAACCACCCAAACCATGGCAAAAGATGTTCAAGTCCAGCCAATACCAAAATCACAGCAGTGACATGTGCACTGCAATAATGTGCAACCAACCAGGCAACCACTAAATTTATGTACATTGGAGGAGAGAGAGAGAGAAAGAGAGAATGTTGTTGGATTTCAAAGGATGAACATGAACATGTATTATAACGATTCTTACCCACCACCCACCACTCTCTACATACTTGAACCTTTCATGAGAGAGAGAAAAAGAAAGAAAAAAAATAGGTACCGACCCGCCATGTGATGCAAGACCTCTTCTGTCCTGTAAGATATAAGCAGCAGAACATCTCAAAAGCTAACTTCTCGCATTTAGTGTCTAAAATGGCCGACAGAGAGAAACCAAACCAACCCACTTATTTCTAGTATCATTATTGAATCATTGAATGAACCAAGCCAAATCAGACCAATTTATCACAAAAGATCTAGTTGACCATTAACAGAAGGACAACAAGTTAGCAATTTTATATAGGTGATTTCGTAAGCTCTAAGACACCTCATAGTAATTAATGGCTCATGGTATTCTGCATTCAAACCAGTGGTCCGGAGTTTGCAGAGATGATCACTCATTTTCTGTGGTCGTCCAAGCTGAACTAGCATCAGATGACCTTGTTCAATCATTCAACTTCATGGTGCTCTAAGAAATCAATAAACCCACCAGAGTTCATTTACTGTTTGGCCATGTTTATTATCTGCAATTTGACAATGTAAACACATGGAACAGTAGAGGTTCAGGTCAGACTTCATTAGTGGGTACAATTGGGTTTCGTTTCATCCTTCTGTATTCATAAAAGGACACAACTATATGCCTAGATTCATAAAATGCCCTAAATAATCACATCACAAGGGTTTATTCTTAAGAACTTTTTGGTACATTCTCACCATCAGAATTTCTAATTCCCCATCTATTAGAAGTTATTACATAAATCCATTCTATTTAAAGCCATATCTTTTGTCAAAGCACTTACTGTATTAGATCCATTCAGGCTTATGTCATCAGAATTCATTTATTTTTTTGCCCTTTCTTTCCCTTTCTAAAGCCTTCAATTTGCACCTAGGGGTGTAAACAAATCGAAATCAAATCGAATCAGGCAATATTTGAATTCAAATTCGATTAGAAAAATCCGGTATCCGAATTTGGTTTAATATCTGATAGATATTGAAAATTAATATTCAAATTTGAATCAAATTAAATATTCGAATATTTGATTCGAATTCGAATTCGACCAATTAATTATTTTAGGTAATTAATAAATATATAAGATAAATATTTTATTTATATAAAGTATATAAATTATATAAAACATTTAAATATTTTATACATTATATATAAGAACTAAATAATTGATCAAATTCGGACATTTATTAATCAAATCAGGTCATATCCAAATTCGGCCAATTAAATATTCGAATTATCCGAATTCGATTCGATTATACCAAATCTCGAATTCGAAATCAGATTTTCGAATACCGTTGACTCCCCTATTTGCACCAAGTCACTTTCTCTCACTATTGCTGATCTTGCATATAACCACCACCTAGCTCACAATGCTTCAAACATGTTTCTTTCCATTTATTAAAAAAAGCTTCTTTCCTTTTTTTTTCTTGGACCAAATAAACTGTTTTATACTTTTTTTCATAACTTCCAGTCATTTTCCTAACTTGGAAAAAAATATTCATGATGAGATATGTTTTAATGGATTTGAATATCAGACATGTGAATGAGAAGAGACGTAGAGTATATCTTTCCTTGCTACTAGCTTTTAGTTTTGATTTCTGGAATTTGAATCTAGTAATTTAATTGTGGCATTGCATCTCTACAACAGTATTCCCCGTGAGTTATATAAATAGTGGCCTACATTAAGAAGTCGTAGAACCCCAGAAAAGTTCACATGAAATCTGGACCAGGGCAGAGAAGAGTAGGTTCAGAATTTAATTTAAAACCAAAAGGTGAAAAGGTTAAGCAAAGTAATGAGGGAGAGAATGAGATGGGACCTGACAACAGTCGGAGATATTGACATTCAAAGTGGAAACAATATTAATATTATAAAGTGGCTCTCATTAATGGGGCGGTTCTTTTCTTTTGGATTAGTTAATGGGAGAAGTTCTCTGAGACCAGAAAAGGTTTGAACAGTTGAATTTTAAATAACCTTCTCACTTATCTGTAGACATAGAATACAGATACACCAGGTGGGTCTGAGAAGATACATTCAGAAATCAGAATCCGTAGCTTTCAGAAAATTTTGACTTTGGGAAGGGTTTAGTATTTAGTATTTAATTCAAATTGAGGCGTACATGGAAATGGGCCCTTCATATCGGGCTGGAGGTTGTGTTGACTCGGTAACATCACTCGTCCTAAAGCTGGGTTTTACTTACTAGTTCTGGCTTGGGTTTGGGTGTACTCAATTATATGCCAATAGGCTACCCAGCATATTTTAGCAGGTTTAGCTCAGTTTTCATTTACATTCAATTCAAGGCAAGCTACAAGACTACATACAATGCCTTCCTGGATTTGTGTAACAATATTGCACTTACAGATGATAATCATGTGCAGAGATTTCTTAGAAACAGATTAAAGATTTCACCCTTTGACACTTAAAAAACTGTATAGCTCACTCTTGATAGGACTGGATTGGTTCGTGTCAGGAACATCCATCATTCATTTGCAGAGTGCAGCATTCCTGGGGCTATACATTTGATGCGGATTTTATTCAAGCATTAAATAAATTTCTCCTGTGCTGCAACCATAAGGTTGTGGACTCATTCCTAGATTAGACATCCTTCCAAGTTTCAAGATCATATATTCCATTTTCAATCCTTGCGTTGCATAAGAAAATTAACAAAGAATCAGAACAGAATCTTTATGCTATACCATTAACAACTTGATTTATTAAATAAACAATATTTCTTGGTTACGTTCAAATGCTTACTATTAGGATGAAGGTACATTTTTTTATGAATCAATATGAATGGGAGATCTCACTCGTAGCTTGAGCTTTAGTTTCTGCTTCCACTTTTGTGTAACTTTGATCAATAGCATCTCTCATATTCAATTTTCACATGAAGCTATAAGGCCGGTAATAATAAAGATGAAACTTATAGCATAAACTACAATAAGAGAGAGAGAGAGAGCTATACCATAGTTTTCTAGACTAGTCGCCTAGGTGGGCACCTAGGCCATAAAAATTTTATAATATGAAAAACTGACTTTTGGCTAGTTTCCTAGTTTTATATACCATTCAGCATGTATGTTAGCTGAAAAATAGCAATTCTCTTTATTAAGAACATTAAATTTCCTCTAAAAATGTGGAAAGTCATCACATCTAAAAGATAAAAATCTTTTACATATATTAATTTCATTATTTTCAAAAATAATACTACTATAATAAGTATTTAATAGAGCAAATTCATATTAATTAGCAGCTAAAGAAGATTATTAACTTTATACGATAAATATTCAAGTTGGAAAGTAAAATAGAAAAAAAACAAGGATGGAGTTTCTGTTTTATTTAATTAGAGAGAGAATAGGAAAAAAGAACTTTATTATTCTATTGTTTCTTTCCCCTTTCTTTTCTTTTCTTTCTTTCTTTCTTTCTTTTTCTCTTCTCAAAACCCTTTGCTCTTTTAAATTTCAATAGTAAAACATTAAAACAAAATATAATCAATATATATAGCATATAATAAAATGTATTAACACATACATTAATAAGATACACCAATATAAATGATATTATAAAAGGCACCCGCCTTGTCATTTTTGTCACCTAGGCGGGCGCTTAATCGCCTAGAAAGGCGCCTGATTGCTAAAAGTCAAGGCATTTGGGCGAGGCGCCCAAACAATGGCGCCTAATCGCCTAGGCGACGCCTTGACAACTATGAGCTATACCCAATTATTTGAGAAATTGTTTATGAATCAAAAGGTGAAACTTACCAGTCTTGCTTTGTCTTGGGAAATTAACCATATAGGCTACATTTTTTACTTGGGCAATTGATTGAGACATTTAGCGAGAATAGGCAAGATTTTCACATGATTTTCATGAAATTAAAGAAAATATACAATAAATTTTTTACAGACAAATTTGGGCATTTGACTAGTACATGAGCCTTAAATAGATAAATTTATATGACACCTGAATGCTGAAGAAATAACCATTTGAAAACACTAGGGGTGAAAGACAGGAGTTCCTTGTCAAAGAGCCCTAGAGCAGGTGCGTAATCAGTAATGGGTGTACAACATTGTACTCACATGCTCACATAGATTTGCATTGGTTATAAATGATTTAAGTTGCACTAATGATATTTGGTGTATGATTTTTCCCAAAAATAATAAAATACAAGAACGAAATAACAATTAAAACTGATGGAAAACCACTATCTAAAGCATCCATTTCATTATCTAGATTCAAGTATCCGTAATGAAGAAACATTAAAAATAATGCTTCACATCTCGGGGTGCAATTTGGACAGGCTTGGGCTAGGCATTTATTAAAATTTGAATGGACCCAGTGCAGGACCCAGGCTAATGCACTGTAGATTCTTCAAATCAGCTACCTGATTTGCATCCAGTCATATCCAATTAACAAATAATGAGGTACGAATATGCTTCTAGAGTGTTGCAAGATGCCCATAGTACACGAGTTGAGGATGAAGTTACAAAAGACAGCATTAAGATCAACCAAGCAGCGCAAATTGGAAATCAAGAGAACTCCATATGATAAAACTTTCTTAGATGAGGATATAGAGATGGGTGGGAAAATTAGGAAGAACAAATAAAGAACATATTTATAACAATTCGATGGTGGGCCTTAGCACAACCGTAGGGTTTCTCCATTGTGACCTGGGTGGCCAGGGTTAGAATCTTGGAAACGGGCCTCTTTGTGTACCTGCAGGGGTAAGGCTATGTACATCTGTCCATCCCCAGACCCCACACTGGCGGGAGAACCTCATGCACTGGGCTGCCCTTTATTTATGAAAATTCAAGGGTAGCCCCATAGGATAATATGATAATCATTACTGAGTTAGTGATGTAACTTTGAGATTTGAACATCCCAAAGTTACTAAAACATATCAGAGGAGGAACCAATGGCTGAACCCAGATTTAGATGCTGGCAGGATTTTCCAAGTTTATAGCTTCTAATTTTTTAACCAGATATTATTATTTATTAGAAAATCTGCAATTAGTAGTTTCCTTTTTGTTTAGGAAAATATTAAAGTCAACTACCATTTTTATGTGTTTCTATTTTCTGAATTTTTATTCTTAGGAGTTTCCGGGATTCTAATTACGACTTAGGAGTCAGCTCCAGTTTTAGTAATTGTAAATTTTCTAAGCTTTGAGGAGTTCTATATAGAAATACAAATCTTTCCAGAATAGCAAAATTGAATAAGAATGGAATGCGAATTGATTGAGATAGTTTTTTTCTTATATATTTAATCTTTCTTCTCTTCTTGAAACATGTGATTCTTCTTTTCTTTTTTTTTTTATTTTCTACTAGTTCTCTTCTACTAGAAGAAAACCAGCAACCATTCTCTGGAATTTCCCCTAAATTCAGAGCATACTTTATTGGAATTTGAAGCAAGACTACCCATCGACATTGCCTTTAATCTACCAGCCTCTACATTAGTTGGTTTTCTCATGCACCAAAGAGCACCTGTCAGAGGAACTGATATGGTGCAAGCATACTTTGAGAGGACAAGAGCAGACTAAAATTCCACTGGTTGAATTAGTGAGAAAAGACTGAGCATCATCCATCTAACAGAAGATGTGGACTGAGTCAAAACATGATGAATGATTCAACTCAATTAATTCTACTATGGCTTCCAAGAAAATTGTCTAACCTGCATACATAAGCCATCACTGTACTATAGAAACCCATTTTCTGTCTATAAATTTAGCATTGATGGGGGCCTTTACCTGTGCAGGAGCTGGTTTGCAAACATGAACTAGTCGCTCCATGGTTTGCAATTGATCATAGGGAGCAATCTACAGAACAACATAAAAATGTTCAAGTTACTAAATTGATGAGAAAATGCCAAGATCACAAATGCTAAAGTTAGTGGGACATGGTGAATGTTTTGTATATTGAATTCTCTATCCTTTTTTTTTATTTGTTTCCAACCAAGGCTTCATAACCATTGGAGGTATCTTGAGGTCAGCATAAAAATTAGCATATGCTGATGCTTTATGCAATGACATACTGGCAATTAATTATGATCCTATTGAAGGGTAAAGTGGCATGAAGAAGCTTGTTTTGTACCAGGGTTGGATATTGATTTAACCCTATGATACCCAGATACCTGTTCAAGGGTGCAGCATCATGTCAGATACTTCAACTTTTAATGTAAGTTTCATATCTGATACTGTACCCAGCTGTGTCCTTGCCATACCAGGGAAACATAGATGTAACCCCAGCCCCTATGCATGATATTTCGCTGAGTACATTTATATGACAGGATACACGCATCACATAAATTCCTTTTCTGACACCCAATAAGTATAAAATCACCTGGATAAATCCATCCGGCCATGTTATGGAAACAGCATAATTTCCCATTGGCCAGATATCTTCTGGCTCAATATCTTCAGGAATATCAGTATATTGCAGTTTTTGCTCCCCAGTCCACTCATCCTGATACAAAAAAAAAAAAAAAGAATCACAAGTAAAACAAAAATAAGAAAAAATATGTTCTCACATACAAAACAAATAGCTAAATTCAAACAAAAACAACTTTAGATTTACGAATACCTAGTTAATATACAAATATAAGCATTACTTTCTTGGACTTTGGAGCCATCGAGACTCAAATGCTGTATATAACATGATACTACTTCCTGATCATGTAGGCATCGTTCAAAGTATTGATACTCTTGATATGCAAAAATTGTGTACCAACTACCAAGAGTTTCATTCAATGGAAACCCTTTGTTTTTTGACTTTTTTGGATGGTAGTTTGTCAGTGGTGATGTCACATCACCTATTTAAGTTTGAAATGGTTGAAATCACCCACTTATTGATATTTAGTGTATCAGTGGGTTCACAACCAGTACATATTGTATGATACACACTGATACATATCGATACTTCAAACCTTGCATATTAGGTTGAGTTTACCTCTAGTAGTACAAAGTGAAATACATAGATAGCACTTAGTTATGCAGTTTACTTGATCAAAGTAGCAAGGATATCAATATGTTGAAAAGCAATTCCTGATCCATTACAGAAATAACGGGGAACTTGGTTTGAAGAACAATAATCATGCATTAACAATATAAGATATGTATTGTATTATCTTGCAATTTTAGGTACAAGTATTGATAATTTTGCATCATTATCCACCACAATATGTTAATTGTAAATCTATAATGTAATCATTTTTTATCAGCAAAGATGATTTTATTAAGAAAAATGAGATGAGAATTAGTACAGAAATTGAGTAGCCTTGGCAACCCCATTAGACTTCAAAAATTTCCACCTAAGATTTTGCTTTACAGCCTTACAACTAAGCCCAAAAAAATGTTCCATATTAGCCCCTTGCTTCACTAGCTGGTCCGCAAACCCATTTGCTGCTCTTGGAGTCCACTGAAATAATAACTGCATGTCCTTGGTAATGTGATTAAGTTTCTTGATCTCATTTCTGAATACCAATGGAGTCTTTCCATTCTGCTTTAGCCAGCTTATAATTACTTTGGAATCACCTTCTACAACCAGATTTCTCACACCTATTTCCATGGCTTTTTGTATTCCAAAGACCACTGCTTTTAGTTCAGCTGTAATGGAGTCTCCCCATCCAATAGGGCCAGAATACAGCCCCACTACTTTCCCATGTCATCTCTTATGACCCCACCAATTCCAGCCACACCTGGGTTGCCAAAGCTGCTCCCATCAAAGTTTAATTTGAGAAATCCAGATTCAGGAGGATCCCCATTTCTTAAAACCTTCTACTTTGCTGATGACGAGGATGCTAGAGACCTCCAGTTCCTGATTATATCATCCGCAATAAAGTCTGAGAATAATCCCATAGATTTTACCCATGAGATCACTTTTATCATAATCCCTTCTATCAGTAAATCCTTACACCTTTTCTTTCCTTCAAAAATTCTCAGATTTCTTTCCTCCCATAACATCCAAAGCACTGTTCCCGTGTGCATCTCCACAGAGTTCTTCCTCTTCTTTTTGGCCACCTGAAAGTGGAGGCGTCAAACAATCTTCCCAAGCTCACCGGGTATCCCACCTGCATCCAAAGAGAGAAAAGAACCATTCCCGAATGCAGCTAGAAACAGGACAGGAAACAAAAATATGATGAACAGTTTCACCATTTGATTCACACAAGCAGCACCAATTGGGTGAAAGGCACCATCCAGGCCTCTTCCTCTGCATCAGATCACAGGTGTTAATTGCACCATGGTAAACCTCCCAACAGAAAACACCCACTTTGGGGGGAATAGGACAACACCAAACTTCTTGGACTGGGAATTGTACCCCAGGTTGAGGATAGGTCAAGGTTTTGAAAAAGGACGCACAACTGAAAGCTCCAAAGGGATTAGGAGTCCAGAGTCTAGTATCTTGCTTAGTAAGATCAATAAATACCCCGTCAAGCAGCTGAATAATAGAAGACACCAAATCCAGCTCCGAATCTCTCACATTTCTACGAAGACCCAGATTCCAAGCAAAACCAAATTGTGAAGGAGAAGGGGAAAGGAAATCAGCAACCAGTTTGCCCTTAAGATAGGACAGGGCATATATTGAGGGGAATAAGGTCTTTAAATAAGAGTCACCCACCCACACATCTTCCCAAAATTTAACTTTGTTACATGAATATGATTGAGGAGCAATTGAAGGAGTTTGTGAGTCGTTTTCCAAGGTGAAGCACTAACACTCCAGCATCCCAACCATTCTCTGAGAGCCCATGTATACTAGTCACAATCTTGTGCCACAACCTGTTTGTTTCGTGTGGGAACCTCCATAACCACTTTCATAGTAGAGCCTCATTCCTTTCCTTAAATCTATAACGTAATCATGCATACAAATATGTTGTCTCTACAAAAGATGTAGAAGACACCAATTTGTAACTTCAGGAAATCAGGTCCCTTTCTTTCTGCAACTATCATACCATAATTATATCATCGTCATTATCATTGTTATTATCTCTACCATAAAAAAATATATTGTGGATTCATTCAGTATTTACATGTTCTGTATATGAGAACTGAGGGGAGGGTTGAAAAGTGCCATGAGACCAATTTAAGTCCTTGACAAAGGCAGAAAATAAAGTATTTCATGTAAGTATAACCGTATAACTAAGAATGCTAGATTAATGTTAAAGGTCAAGTTCACATACAATACTCTGGGCAGACTGGTCATTTCGTCTCACAGTAGCAGGATGCAGGAAGAACTCTTCGTCTGAATCTGGTACCTTCACCCGGATTGCTTTGATAGATTTATCATATGTTACAGCTGTTGATACTGAAAAAAGAAAATAGGGAAACAAAAATGAGGACGAACATGAACGCTGAATGAAGTCAATGAACCTCTTGATCATTATAAGCAGCATAAACACAATATCAATCAATACCAATTTATAGTTACTATCTTCCTTGGAACTTTTCCCATTATCTGTTTGTTTACCTTGTTGGCGAATCTTTGCACACTGCTGGACAACACAAACTCCAAGCTCCTGAAATGTTCTAGCAACTTCACCTTGAGGGTCAGCTACTACTTCAGGCATCCCACTATCTCCAGAAGCAGATAGCTGGTAAAATAAATGTTGGGTCAAAAGATAATTGTTTGAATTAACAAAACATTAATCACAAAGCACTTTCAGACATGGAAAATGTAATACTGTTTAATAACATTCAGTTTTTATTGGAGAACAAACCAGGCCTCAATAAGCCACACTTGTATCCCAACAAGGAAAATGGATAAAAGTAAGGAAATATTTACAAGGGTTGTAACTAATAAATGATGGAGCCAAAACAGAAAAATAAAGGAGATAGTGTAAGGAAACAATCAAACTGAAGATCTTTATCCAAATAATTTTCCAAGAAAATATTGACAAAGGAAAAACATATGCTGCTGGAAAGACATGATACCGGAAGAGCTTTGACCAGTCAAAACCCTCTGAATTTTGATAAATACCACCAGATTGGTTACCACTTTTTGATATCGGTTGATTGGTTACAAGTTTTTCTGATATCAAGTTGAACCCATTAATAAAGACCCGCCATAAAAGAAAATTTGTTCTGGAAAATTGAGCTCTAAGCAGGCAGGAAAAGAGGGAAATGAAACAGAGAGGAAAAAAAAAGAAAAAAATATATATATTTAATAGTTTTTTTGCAAAGAGTTAAACTCTAAGATGAAGGAATTTTAGATTGGTTCTTTAACATGTACCCAGTGATACATGGATTGGATGGTCATAATGGAAGTTCAAGGCCAGCTCAGTTAAAAATAAGAATTCATAGAATAAGGTAATGCCCACTCAAAGAAACGAATTCAATTAAACAATGAGTACCTTAGAAATACATGAGTATAAAGTGTGATTAATAAAAAGAACTATCAGATATCAATGATATGTAATGCAAATAAAATGAATGATGATGATCATCATCATCGTCTAAGCCTTATCCCAACTGTATGGGATCGACTACATGAATCCTGCTTCACCATTCCATTATGCTTAATACCAAAACAACATCTTCATTTAGTAAGAACAGAAGAAACCTCATGCACGTACAGTTGGTCTAATGGGAAGATCAAATAGATGTGGGATTCCAAATTGCTGAACAACCTGCATGTACATGGGTGGATTCATTAGAGTTCATCTGAATCTTGATGTCATATCATTCACCTAGAGCATTTAAAGATTGGTAAAGAACATTAGTTCATGATACAAACTCTGCAATAAGTTACATGCCTGAGAACCTGAGCCCCTACCAAATGGGTAGTAGCGTTTCCCATCAGCATCAAAGTGGCTCATATTTTCAACAACAGCAACACATGGCACCTGGAGAACACACACAAGAAAGCATTTTCGAGAAGTATGAAAATATGGAAAATAGTATATAAAATGTACCTTCCAAGAGCATTGTTTTACATGTTGATAATTGCATTTTTTTTTAATTGATACATAGAAAATAATAGATATATTAATGGGAAACAGGTAATTGATTCTTACATATAAATTGCTCACCTTAAGCTTAGAAAACATGCGGACTCCTTTCGCAACATCAATGAATGCTAGTTTTTGAGGGGTAGTAACAACCACAGCAGCGGTCAAAGGGACAACCTGGGAAGTTGAACTTCTAAGTCAAAATGTAGGAAGCATCAAGAAGAAGAAAGCTCAAGGAAGATGGTTGTTATTACAACCAACATAAATATGTAGATCACAGAATTTTACTAGAATCAACAAAAATAAATATTTGCTCTCTATTTATGGCCATATTTAATTCCATGCAAGTTAAAAAAGGATAATGCAAGTGCCGTTGACAACTCTTGACTACTCAAATGCATCAAACCCTATGAAGATGGTTCTTGAAGTATTTAATTATAATACTAACAGTTTTTTTATGTCAAACAAAATGAAATTATGAGAAGTAAGACCTGGCACAGAGTGAGTTGGATATCTCCAGTCCCAGGAGGCATATCAATAACAAGATAGTCTAACTCTCCCCTGCACAGTCACCAGAAACTGCGTATTAGCATGTTAAAATTTTGGGAAAAATAAACTCCAAAAAGCTGAAATTCATTGATTATAGTAGAAAACAATCTCTCTTATGTTGAGTATTAGCTAACCACAAATGGGACACACTACTAAGAGTATTTTTCTAAATTTATTTGAACTGTGACTTCTGAATCCCAGGAGTAGGATTTCAAAAACACGCTTGAGATATCAGAATACCAGAAGTTTCTTAAAATCTAGTTGATGGAGCACCAGGGTGTGGCAAGCCAAGCACTTGCCCAGTTATTAGGGCTGTCAATGCCTCAATGGGTCGGGTTGGACCCGAAAGACCTGAACCAATTGGGTCGGTTCTGGTTCCTGATATATTGTCCCGATTCTTATCAGCTAGGAACCGGTTCCACCAAGTCCCAAACCAACTCATACCCAACCCTATATATATATATAATTAATATTATATATAATATTTTCAGTAGGCTTATTATAATCAGGTCAGACCCAATTGTCCCAAGAACGATCAGTTTGGTTCTGGGTCTAAAATTACAGACCCTATCAGGTCCGGTTCAGTTCCATGTCCTTACTATTTCTTATCAGGTCAGTTCCGGTTCTACCTGGACCCGGCCCAGTCCCAACCCATTGACAGCCCTACCAGTTATTAATGCTTGCCCAGGAACCAGGCTTGAACTTGGGGCACAAGGGCAAGAATATTATATTCAAAATTAAAAAGAAGAAAAAGAAAACAAAACTGCACAGAAGACCATCTACAGCACCCGTTAGAAGTACTGATCTGTTACAAGTTTAAGGGTAGAAGAGCTAGGGCAGACCAAAAAGGGACTTGGGTGGAAGTAGTAAGAAATGATTAAGTGTTCATAATTTGAAAGATATGACACTTAACAGAACAGGATGGTGAAACAGGATTCATGTAGCCAACCACATATAGTTGGGACAAGGCTTAGATGATGATGATGATGAAACAGAAAACACACTGTGGAGCATATAGAACCCTCCCATAGGTTCCAATTTGTCTGTTGGTTGGTTTGGCTTGGGAGGGTTAGCAAAATGGACAATAAACAGGTTTAATACGAACATAAGTGGGCTTATTTATTATGACAATAACATTTCATAATATAGGATTTTATGTGGATTTAGCTAGCAACTGTAAGTAATTTGGTTTTGGAAATTAGATGCAATTAGGAGTATAAACCATTGTAGTAATTTCAAGACAACATAAAAATGATTGGTTAATTCATGCTTCATAAAAGTTGCATGTCATTAGAGTTTCACAAAGTTGTAAGTCAAACTTTGATATAAAATAATAAAGTTAAACTAATGAATTTTTACAACTTGGAAAAAAAAAATAGATGATATTTCTTTTTCACTTCAATATGGGTGTCTGTAAAGAAACAACATACCATTCAGAAGTAGTTAGTAGTTGGTTGATGACCCCAGAAACCATTGGACCTCTCATTATTGCACGTCCTTGTCCAGCAAACCCAAAAGATACCAACTTCACACCCAGGTATTCTGTGGGAATTATGCTTCTCTTCTCTGGGTTCTGAAGGCAGCTTGTTCAGAGTCATTACCATAGAATCTTATGTACAATGAATTTAACATCAACAAAACATGAGAAAAATTACCATTTCTAACAGACAGTTTTCAGGGGAAACCATTGTTGGTAAGCTTGGCCCATAGACATCAGCATCAAAGATGCCAACTCTAGCACCCATACCAGCCAAAGTATATGCAAGATTTACAGCAACAGTTGATTTTCCCACACCTCCCTGAACAGCTTCAAATAATTCCGTAGCAATAAATATGGAAACCAGATATATATATATATAAAGGGCACATCATTCAGAAAGGAATGAAATGATAGGAATCTGCTTGCCCCATGACCACTTTCACTTGTTCAACACAGAAGTTAAATGTCATAAAAACCCCAATATCAAAGCATACAGAAAAAATAGAACCTAACAAGCTACAGCTTGGGAACACACTACCTTGCAACTTGAAACTGCAACAATATTAGAAATAGTTTGCAGGCCAATTGGAAGTTGCCCTTCAAAAACAGGTCTTGCAGGTTGTGCTGACATAGTTACATTAACCTTTTTAACCCAAGGAAGCATTGCCACCACCTCATTTGCCTTCTGTTCAAACTGCAACACATTGAATCTTGTTAATATTGTGTTGAACAAAACCTCTTACTGAAACGACCTAGGGATTAATCTAATAAAAGAAAAATGGGGGAGAAAGAAAATGTGTTCAAAACAAATTAAAGTTAGATGCTGTAACCAGAAGCCCTTATAGATATATCTAATCGCAGAACAAGATATAACATTTGGATTAAAAGAAAATAAGGAAAGAATTTAAGAATAAAAATGTAGATGTTCTTCCACAAGTTCCCATAATTAGTAATGGAAAGAAGAAAAAAACATCTACCATTTGAAACAAACAGCAGTTCTTGATCAAACAGTGGTGGTTGTATGTCAATTACCATGTCCTTGATTGGACATGCTGGTGTAGTAAGCTCCAAACGAAATGAAACCTGAAATATGAAAACTTAGAATTTTTAGTGAAAACAATATCTCCCATGTGCAAAGGTGGAAAATATTAGCATTTGAAAACAACACTAGTTAGAAGAAAATTATGAAAGTTTTACACTATTCACGTTCCTTATTTACCTCACCCAAGGTCTCATTGATATGCAGATCTTTCACAAACCCACACGATACAATATCTGTCCCAAAATCTGGATCAATGATCTGGGATAAGACTGCCAATACATCATTCTCAGCAGTGCCAATAGATACTATGGAAGCATCAGCTACAAAAAGACAAAGAACAGTGAGAAATTATAGACATAAAACCAAAACTATACAGACAATGAAAAATTGCCAAGACAACAAGTAAAATACAGTAATAGATTAACTAGAGGATAATAGCCACCGTAAATAGTTGGGATTAAAGCCAATTTGAGTTGAATAACTCGAGGATAATGGTAAAGTTTTGGTGGAAACTGGCGAGACGAGCCCCCAAGGGCGCCCTGTCGCCTTGACAACCATGCTGAAGTGAAAGTGTTAATCCTCATTTGATTTACTTTGTTGAACTAGTATAGACTATGCACCAATACAACAGTAGATTAACTACACACATTCAACACGTCGTGCAAATTAGCGATCTGGGTTTTGTTATGACTCAAGGACGGAATCTTGGTTTCCTTTGGAGGTAGAAATCACCTTTAACAGAAGCAGCTCTAGTGGTAACTGTGCTTGAAATAGACTGACTACGCAACAGCCGTACAAATCCTTCATGTCTTTGAGATGAAATGGAACAATTAACGGTGGAAATATCGAACGATTTCTTTGGTGAAAGAAATCCTACAGAAGTTTCAGAAAAGAAGAAAGGTAAGTTATAAGTAACTTAAGTGACAATGTGGACACCGAGCACAGCGGAACAAGAAAATAAATACCTCGATTTAATGACGATGTTGTGCTTAGTAATGTGATATTGGACAAGGATGGAGCCTGAAGAAGTTGCATTTGTTGTCTAAACTCTGAACCTGTGCATAGAGAGAGAGAGAGAGAGAGAGAGAGATGGAATAGCCGAATAATTCGAGAGTCGTGGTCTGAAACCGAGAGCCTTTGAACCTCAGATAGTTATCTTGTCAGACAATCATTCAAATCGAATCACCTTATATCATATGGTAATATTAATTGAAACTACTGAAATACCCTCCTATTTTAGGAAATTACCGAAAAACGAAGTATGTTTTCAAACTTATTGCGGGGGCATCTTTGCGATGTGACAAAACTTTTACACGTTGGACTCGAAGGCTTTATACTCGGGTATAGGGCTGGCAATGGGTCGGTTCTATCCGGTTGACCGAACCGAATCGGTTATATTGGTTTTGGTTTTATTGTTATTTAAGGCTTAGTTTGGAAGGAGTATAAATACAAATATACAATGTAAATTCATACAAAATAATATAAAATACAAGGTTTTGCATTCTATATATTTGTATTTATATTCTTTCCAAACTGAATTACTTATTTTATCCCGATCAATAATTGGATAGACTCTAGTTCTTGCTTGTTTCAAATTGATTCAGGCCTGAGCCAATTATTTTATTAAAAATATATAAAAGTTTTTTTTTATTTTTTTGTAATTTTTATTATGTTTCTTGTCTGAAAGGATAAACTTGATAGACAATATAAGACTTTGTTAAAAAAATGGATTATTAATATATAAATAATTTACTATTTTAGAACATTTTGATTAAAGTTATATTATCAAAAATCATATTTTAAGTTATTATTTATATAAAAAATTATATATCTCAAATATAATCGGGTCTATTGGGTCGGACTTGACCATCCCGATTATTAATCGGGATGGTTCTAAGTCTATGATTTGTCCCAATAAAGTAATCAGTTCGATACTGGTACAAGCTGTACCGAATCAGGCTCGATCAATTGACATTCCTATTCGGGTAGCCAAGTCCACAAGAATGCTAAGAGATGTTGAGATTGATTATGTTGGAACATGTGCGGGACATAGATCATGTTGAAACATGTTGGAACCACAACTCATTGATTATAATATAAAAGCTTTGGGTGGGGAGGGTCTATTTTGAAAAAGAAGAAAGAAAAATAAATATTAAATGCCCACATGGATAGCCTATAATATATCTATGGTGAAAAATCCAAAGAGCCCGAATCAGTTATTAGTCAGCCATTTCAAGGGTTGTCGGCTTCAGCCTCTTTGAATTGTTTATCTAGAGTGTTTCAAAGCAGTTGAACCAGCTTAACTGAATTTTCAGTTCGGTGTTGCTAAACAGGCCCTAAAAAAAAAAATACATATACAACCAATAATATATTTTTGTTTGTTTTTTAAGGTTGCGTTTGGAAACAATGCAAATGGAGTATAGGTCCTGGTTCAGGGTAAATTTGCACTCTGTTTCACTTTTGCCTATCTAGCAACACTACATTCATACATTGACAAATGACAGAAAACACATTTTCCAATACACATTTACATTGATAATAAGATGTAAAAGTACATCAATAAAAATAAAGTAAATTTGCATTCAAGTGGACTTTTGATAAAAAAATAGGCATATGCTTTATTGAAATTCGTGCTTGCATCTATTATAACTAAAAGTCTGTTTGGTAAAGAGGTAAATTTATCAGTACAAAAATAATCCAACTTTACAATTTATATAGACCATTTTATACTCTACATATTTGCATTTGCAGTTATTGGTATCGTTTCCAAACGCAGCCTTAAGAACCAATTTGTTTTCAAACCAAATGGTTTGATTTGTTTTAAGTGATCTAGGAAAGGCAAGGAAGCTCAATAATGATCCAATTAGCAAACTTGTTCACAAATATATTAATTCTATATTTCCATAGGAGTGAAGTAATTTTAAAAAGGCAAATCGATGAAAAATAGAAACTTCAAGTCAAATTAATGAGGTATTTGCCATTGTGAATGCTTTTGTTTTCTAAAATAAAAGCAATTGCCATGTCAACAAAAACAAGACATTTTTTGCTGATGTGGCAATTGATTTTGTTTTAGAAAACAAAACCATTCACATGAAAGAACCCCCCCCACACACACACACACAAAAGTACACATGCATAGAATGTAATTAAATAACATATGAGCACACATTAGCAAGAGTGGGTTGAATTGAATAGATTCAATTTAATTTATTTTTTTGGTAATAAAATAAAATTTATTAAAAAAAAAGAAATTAAAGAGGAGACTGACCCTGACTAGAAGTCAGTCAGTCACTCGGAAAAGAAGGGAAGAAAAAAAAAAAAAAAAAAAAACAGAACTACAAGACATTACACAAGTAAGGGTGTCACCGTGTCAATGGACCAGTTTTGAGGTCCAGTCCAAAATCAATTTGAACGGATTGGATGGAACAAAAAGATAGTGGATTGGACCAATCTGATCCAAAATATTTATTAAATTGGACTGGACCTGGTCCATCCATAATAAATTTATACTGGATTTGGTTGGATTAAGCCAATATTCGGTCCATTTATATAAGATAAGAATATAGGTGTCAATGGACCAGGTTTGGGTTGAAACCAATCTAAATTAAAATGAGTTTGAACAAATTGGACGGTCCAAACATTGAATTGGACAGGTCCAAAGAGGTCAAAATTATTCATTGGATTGGACCGGGTCCATTAGTAATGGACTCACATTGGACTGAACCGGATTGGACCAAATCTAGTCCAATTGACACCCCTAAACACAAGCACTCCAAGCCAGCCTAGCCTCCAAAGTATCAACAGAAACCATAGCCGACATAGATGTCACAAAACAAAATCCCCACAACAGTAAAAGATTATAAAAACTCAGGCCAACAAATAGAGGTGGCAACGATCCGAGCTCGAGCCTACTAGAGCTCGGCTCGTGAGGCTCGCGAGCCGGCTTGAATATATATATAATAAAAATATTATAATTACTAATTATTATAATTCTTAATTTTTTAAATAAAAAATAAAAAATTATATGTATTTTTTATTTTTATAAAAATATTTTTTCTATATATTTTTATAAAATATAAAACGAGTCGAACTCGAGGTCAAGGTTCTAGCTCGAACCGAGCTCGAGCCTTGTAAAATAGTCTCGAGCCAAGCTCAAGCCTGGTACTATTCGGCTCGGCTCGGCTCGAATCCACCCCTACCAGAAAAGACAAGAACCACAACAAAACCCCACCATCATACATCTAAACTCAAAAGCCATAACCATCTTACAAACTACAACCTTTGATCCGCTAAAATACTAATGCCTTCTTACAGTTTTATTGATCTTCAACAACTTCTTGTTTGGTCCAATCCCAAAGAGACTCCCTTTTAGTCTGACAAAAGTCTGTGAAATCAACATATTTCTGTGTTTTCTTTGTTTTTAAGTCTTCTATACTGCAACAATCTTCCTGGATTACATCAGGCAAGAAGAGTTCTTGTTTAAACAATTATAAATAAATAACGAAGAATTTCCAGAAAAAATATCACAACTCCAGTCTCCAAAATACAAATTTACTTTCTGAGTTCACCAATAAATGCAAATACAAAGTTTCTTGAATAAATAACTTCAAGGTTCAAAGATTCTTTTTTTTTAATTTTTGGTAATTAAAGTTTTAAAGTATTGGTGTTGCAAAGAGTTTCAGAAATACAATTTTAAAAGACATATCAGTATACGCCTAAGATATACCAAGAGAAGATAAAATAATTAAAACATAGATAGATAATGGTAGGGAAATCTTAATAATCTAATAAAAATACACCAATAACACAAAATTTGGAGCTCCATTGGCTACAGATAAGGTATAAACACATAAAAAATTACATGCTTCAACAATGTGAGGTAATAGTAATACATTGCAATCTGCAATTTAAACAAGAGACAACTGTAATTTATACTTGTATGAACTTTCTGATGTAAATTGGAATGATTAGTGTATCCAAAAATGAATAACATATTATATAAATGAATGGTAAATCTATTTGTACGTCACTGCCATCGTCATTCAAAGCCTTATCCTAACTCTATGGGATTGGGATCGGTTACACGAATCCTATTTCACATTTTCTCTATTTTGTATGTCATATCTATGATTAAATTACAAGTGGTTTATTCATTTTTTGCTACTTCAGCGCACGTCTTTTTTGATCTAATACGTACCTATGGCCCTTTAATTACCCCTTCAACTTGTAAGTTGTAACAAAGCACTTCAATACCAAGTTCCAATTGATATCTTCTTTTCAGTCAAGCATATTCGGATGTTGGCATTTTTTCTTTTCTGTGTACTTTTGTTTTGTTAATAGATTCCGGAATGCAACAGCTCACTTGTCGGCATGGTGTTTGTGTTCCAACCTAAATTGGACGCAATAACACATCTCCCATGAAACAGGATTCAAATATAAACATGGTGTTTGTGTTCCAACCTAAAATACTTTAGATTCAAACACCATGGATGCAAGGATACACCGATACGATACAGAGAAGGTCATGTACCAATATGGACCGTTTCCCACTTGTCGGCATCGAGCATATCGATATTTTGATCCTTGCCCCTGATCGAACATGAGAGATGAAGGTCAGCCATCCACAAACTTTGTGGGAGAAGATTGAGGTCGCTTGACGCTTCATAAAACATGAAGCAGAGACTTCTTTCTGTGCTTAATCCTCTCCATGAGCCCGTGATTGAAGGACAAGTGCGTCTTCATCTCCCCGTGTGATAACAGAGAGTAATATTAGAAGATCAGGCCACCTTTATAACATGCATCTATCTGATTTTGATAGCTCAATCCTTCATAAAAAAGAGTGGCCCGTTATGGGGAATATATAAATATATCTCTAATGCAAAGTATATCAACTCCCCATAATCCATTAATATACTAATCTGTGAATAAGTTAATAAGAGTCAAAGAGCAAGAATAACAGGATCTGAGTCCCATATGATTGAAATAATTCCACTGCTTCAATTTGTCAATGAGCGTGGGAAACAATATAGAGCACCTTCTCCAAAACAAAATCTCTGGTTCAAGGCCCTCTTTCGTGAAATCTCCAGCTTGACAGACTTCCCCCAGTTAAAATGATAGCTTCCTAAGATAAACATAAAATGCCTGTACATAGAGAAACAATGGCAATCAAGAGTCTACCTCAGGGGAGCATATAAACAATGCAAATAGCAATGTCATTCATTTAGTTGTTCCCTTGATTCAGTGCCAAAGCTTACTACAGAAACCATTACGTGGCCTCTTGCTGGAAATGATATCTAGAAAGGAGTCAACCAACTGCCCTGCTAAGCAACTTGGGTCATCAATCAGAGTCTGAATAAAGGTGTTTACCACCCTACGCTCCTGCTCAGTTGATCTAAGGCTAAACCAAGTCAGGAATTTCATCCTAAACTCATGTTCAATGTGACCCCCACATTCTAACCATCGGATGATCTTTACACAGTACTCATAGCTCCCATCGAAGTGATTAGACCTACTAGAGAATTGCAATGGTGAAACATTAATTAGAGTGCTATCACAGTCGTTTGTCTCTTCATTTGCACTAGGTTTCTGTTTCCTAGACAACTCCGTTCGGGACTCAACAGCATGCACTTCTCTAATGGGCCTAACTGCCCATGTCTCAGAATCACCACTTCCGTTTGATCCAGCTTGTCTATTCTTCTCTTCCCCTCGAGAAATGACATCGTCATCAACCTCGACAATCCGCTCAGAAGTGCAACCAATATCTTCCTCCCTGGAGAACTCCAATGGTGGAGTTAGATCTGCATTTAGATCGGGCACTGAGACAACATTCAAATCAAGCGCTCGTGGAGCAAATGGGGGTTGATCTTCTTCAATAATTTCAGGTTTCACTGTAGTGTTTCCACCACAGCATCCTTCCATATCTGCGCTGCAAAACCCATCATCAAGGTAACCATCTTCTTGTGCCCAAGCAAGCCGTAAGATCTTTCCAAGGTCTCGAACTTTGAAACCAGAAGATCCAGTTGCCATTGTCATCTTTGGCTCCCTCTTGGCACTAGATGAGCTTCCTTCCACATGCAAATTCTCATTCTTACAATCCATGGCTGCTGTTGAATCAGTACTCTTGTGGATTATCTCCACACTTTTGGTAAAAATCTTTGCCTCTGAATGACCCCAATCACCAGTCTCTGTATATGATACTATTCGAAAGGCATATTCTGTGCAGGGCTGCAGGTTTGATATCAGAATTCTTCTCTGAGCTCTTGGAAAGACACAAATAGGCTCTTTGGGATGTGACTCCTCTCTACTCTTGCAGTACCAGAGCTTGTAGCCCTTAATAGCATCTGATATGGAGGACAGTTCTTTCAAAACAATAACAACAGATGAAGATGTAACTTCTTCAAACTGAAACCTGCAAGCAGCAGGAAGCGAATCCTCTGGCAATGGAAACAAAGAAAGAGGTTTATTCTTTCAGTCAAAATGTGTTGAATCAATTCAATGGAAAAAGGGTTGAGTAGCTGAGGAACCCCACCTCTATCACGTGGTTTAGCATTAGATATGGTGCTTAGCCATGCATCTGCCTTTTCAATTGCAAGTGAGCAAAGCTTCTGCACATCACCAGCAACTGAAAGCCTGCTAACAATGCCCCGTGCCATCTTGGCTGAAACTCCGCACACTGGCCCAACCTCCTTTTCAAGCTTGACCTTAGCATCTCCTACAATTTCGTGTAGTTCTTTAAACCTGCAAGTTCCATCTAGGAGACGGTGACTCAAGGATATCCTGTAGCAGAGAACATCTACACGCCGGGCATCTTTTGCTATTATCAACTGCTTCTTCCAAGATCTGCAGGAAATACTCAAATCAAAGCAACAAAATCAGTCCAGAGGAGACAAAATCTATTGTTAAGTTGAAATCACCAATAATTGATCTTTTGCTTATTTACTTAGCAATACTCTTGTATTAATCCAATAAATAATCAGACCACAAGTGCACGCTTGCCTGATGCTTTACCTTTTTATTATTAAAGGGGGAAAAATAAGAAAGAGATTCACCAAATTTAGCAAGGACAACAATACACAGCAGAGAAATTACTCACCCTAGTATCCCTGTGACTTTGCCACAAGAAGCACAACAGTAGCTCCCATCCAATTGCATCAGCTGCCCAAGGTTTACAACACCTACCTTTTGGCATTGGAGAGCACACTCAATGTGGCAAGATAATCCACATGAATCACCTTTACCAGATTCAGATGCACAGACCAACCAAAGACTAGGGTCCTTGTTGTCATCAAACAGGTGACAAATACAGCAAGAGCACCTCTTACAAAACGTATCATCTATGGATAAGACAGCTCTACATGCAGAGTTTTTACAGATCCAAGTGCTTGAACATGTAACGTCTGATGAAAGCTCTGTAGCCGGTGGGAGTCGAACAGGATTTTCACCCTTCCTTGGTTGCTTCCTAGAGGGAAGGGCATGATTGTTGGTCAACGTTAACTGACTAGAAGTTTTTCGTGGTTCCTGATTCTTAAATCCTTTATTATTTGTCTTGATAAGGTGTTCATTAATTTTACATTTTGATGATGCAGAGTGTTTCTTCTCTTTATGAAAGCATGTTTGAAGCAATTCCTTCTTTACCCCCGACTTGAGATATTCATGAAGTAGTTCCTGACCTCCTGGGACATCACTTGAGTGTCCCTTTTTCTCTGGGGTACTTTGAGCACTAGAAGAAAGGCTTTGTATGCCAAACACTGGAAACAAAACAAGGTGAACAAGATAGTCAGTAGGTGTAGAAACAACAAAAATTAGTCAAAGAATCTGAGATAAATTATTAAAGACATGAACAAGTTCAGAAATTCAGTACACTCAAGAAAGAAAACCACAGAAATTAGATGCCAGAAATGTTTCTGTGAGTATGAGTAGGATAGAGATATCTGCTTAATGTAAAGAAAGGAAACACCAAGAATAATAAGGGGCTGACAAGAAAACATTGAGAGGTAACATGAAGAAGATATTGGAACAAGTTGATCTGCATATCAGAAGGATTACAACCTACTGGAAGCAAAATATGCTGTGATTCAAGAAATGTTAGCATTAGCAAGCAGTTATGGCAAGGAAACGGCTGGATACGGTATCAGTGACGAAATTTACACTAAAAATTGAAGTATCTAACATGATACAGAACCCTTGTACAAGCATCAAGGGTATAATAGTTATCCAGTAATTAGCTCAGATTTTTTGTTTATCAATATGTATATATAGGCATAGGTCTGATTTGCATAATAAAATATTGATTGATATATAAAATATAGGGAGCAGGCCTGATTAGTTAGGTTGCTTAAAAATGACGGCTGAATCACCAAAGAATCTTCCACATGGTAAATTGAAAAGCCCAAAACCATTCCCACATGGCTAAAATAAATCCCTTCTTTGGTCAAGATTAATGTCAAAATATTAAAACATTCAGTGGCCAGTATTATTTGTGAACATTAATAAAAGCTTGGGTACAGAGTTGATGTGGACTAGAGAGTTGAACAGGTGGACAATCCACAGTGCCCTGTTGATGGACAGCTCAGATTGGCCACATCATCCCTTCGGCCATCACATGGCAGAAATGTGGCAGGTCATGTAGGAAATCCCCCTAGATCAAAAGCAGCCCATGTTCCTCTCCTCACTGTGTATTCAATTAAAATTTTCAGCCCAAAACATCTTTCCATGTCCACAACATAAGCCCACTTTATAAGTTAAATTTAAAAAAAAAAAAAACTAAAACTTTGAAACAAGATGTTTTCTGGGGGAACCTTTGTATCAAGCCTTTTTTACATTCATGGTTTTTTATTCATTTTCATTAGCAAAGAATGAGAAATTTATAAGCTATGCTCCTCTCCTCATGTTCCTCTCTCATACAAGATGCTTATATCATAGTTATATATCTAATTGTGAAGCCAAGTGTCACTTTTTAAGACCTATGCATTGCCAAATTTAATTAAATTTCAGACATATGCAGATCTTTAATTGTACAATTTGTTAAAATTAGTGTTTAAAATATTTTAGAAATGTTAATCCTGTGGAGAATTGTATATGCAATATCTGGTGTCATCATATCAGGTACTATCACATCCAACACCAACATGCTAGGGATGTACAGGCATTCGGAAATCATAGTCTAATGATATTAGTTTTAAATACCACTTTAGCCCCAAGGATTAAAATTTAGCAATGTATCAGCTCATACATATCATACCAGTGATCCACCGATACACTATTGTAGGCATTGTTTCGGGGTTTGACCTGTTTCATGGGATAGACAGGCCTTATACCAACCCCCGTCCCCCTTCCCCCCGAACAGGTATGAAAAAATAAATAAATAAAAATAAAGCATACAGACTGATACACCCTTGCATATCAGTCTGTATCGATATTTAGAACTTTGTTTGGCCCAATTTCTTAGAACCTTAGCCCAAGCCTATCTCTACATCCTAAAAACAAGTTTTCAGAATGTAGTGGCAAGTAGCTTGACCTACAATGGCTGATCGATCCAGACACTAGCAGAGACCATGGTGGATTCTATCATGTGCTGCAGAAGTCGCTTTGTAGTAGCTGATGATTTGGGTCAAGCCTATCCAGGTCCACCTACAGAGCAGCTGATAGCCTGATACCTGATACACTGTAGGAAAAGCCTTACAAAGCTTCTTTACCCTATGGGTCATACAACTCACTTCCAAACCCTCATCCTCAATATTTCTTAATTTGAAGCTTAATTGAGCCAAGAAATATGCTTATAGTTTCACATTACCATTTCATATGAATATCTCGTAAGAAGAAACCACCTGAGAATCCCAATCAAGATTTTACATTGTGCCACACCCTTCTAGCTAACCATATCTTATGTAATTACTGGAGAAATGACTCAATGATATGAAACATATGTTGCGTCATTACACCGCCAGTCCCAAAGCCCAGATAAAGGAGGGTTAAATCAGGTTGGTAGCCGGCATGAAAACTTTTGCCAAATTCTCATGGTTATGGATCCTAAGTTGCCCTTTCATCATCATTGCCCAAGTTTAGTATGGGCAAGGGTATGTTAGGGTGGTTAACAATGGATATGGCACTGAACAGAACAGAATTGCGAAAAGGATTCACGTATCCATCTATAGGCGGCTTCTCAAATTTTGCAACATTCATGTCCTTCGGCTTGACCACAATCTCAACAAAATCAAACCACAAGGTGCAAGTGTTTATGATATTCTTTTTATAAATGACAAAGGAATATATCCCAGAATGAATGAGGAGTATCAAAGCAAAACATTTTTTATCAGTAACCTGTAACCATATTGAATTCAAGTATAAAAGTGATCAATTACAATTTAAAAGCCATAGTCAGGTCACAATAGCTTATAAAGAGAAAGAAAAGAAATGAAAATACATAGGCATCCCATAGAGATGCTGCATCTTGTAAATTACAATAGCATTATTGACAAGATTAATAATGATTGAAAATTTATTGACTGAATTAATGTTATATATATTTTGTATATCCATATTGAAAAAATTATTAGTGATCAAAAGAGTGGAATACAAACAAAGGCTGCCCCACAAACAAGAGGACCCCACTCAAAAGGAAATTAGGAATATCAAAGCAGAAAAAAATGAAACAAGAAATCTAATCTAGAACAGAAGAAGCAGAAATAACAACATCCTCCTCACTCCACTCCAAGCCAAGCTATCTATCAAAAAGTTGGACAACCTCAGAATATTTGAACAATCTGTTTACTATGGAAGTCAACACTCTAGCCTCTTTGATGTGATGACATATCAACCAGTAATCAAGTGAGAATACCCTCAACCTCTACTCTTTTACTACCCAAAGAGAACAGAAGTCTAAAGCCAGAGTGAAGGGCCAAGAATTCCCATGACAGAAGAACCATGCCAACTTGGGCAAAAGGAAAGCATGCTAATATTACCCTTGCTGACCCCTAAATGCTCCACCAACACTAGAGATTCCTTTTCCAAGGGAACATCCATCAAAGCATTGGCCCAAATTAAAATACAAAAGTATTATATATAAAACGAATTTGAAGCAAAAGTATGGGTGTGAAAGCAAACACATATGGATCATACCAAAGTTCCTCAAGCATTCAACAATTCAAACATGTAAAGCTTCCAATCTGTTATTTATCTCCTAGTTGAATTACTTCAAGTGGCTGGTGTGATCTTAAACATCTTCAATTCCCAATCCTAAGGCATTGGTCCTTCACCTCCAATAAAGGACCCTTAAGGGAATCCCAAATGAGTTCATGAGAGGAATCAGATAGTAGTTGTATTTTTTTCATAAGGGATATTTAGTTGTATTATTACTTCTTTAGTTAAACCATTACAAAAGTGTAAACATGTAAAGGCATATTTAGAAAAGACGCACACATTTTGAAAGGAGCTGTGCCTGGGTTCAGGAGTAGAACATGACTTAAAATGCACCTCTCCCATGCACCTAGGTGTAAACATTGCAACTTCATAAAACCAATGGCGCACAATGACCAAAATAGGATTATACTTTATTAATTAAAAGTTAAGACCAAATAATATATGTGTGTGAATGCACAATTAGGAGTTTACACAAGTGAACAGACTTTATGGACACTTAAACAGAAGATAAAAGAATATATATATATATATATATATCATGACTAAACATCTCAAATTGCATCATAGAGTCACAACAAGCAACCTACAGTCACCTTGCAGTAACTACATCTTAGGCATTTGAATTTATCGTTACTTTAAACATTTAACATGTGGTCTTCTGCTCAATGTCTTAAACAATAATTTTAATCTTTCTTATTCAATTATTAACCATCAAGTACTATAGTGCAATCAAAACAAAAGAATGAAGAAATTTGGTAAAGAAAAAGGTTTAAGAAAAATAAAGGTCATACCTTTGGCAAGCACTTTGTCTTCTGAATCCATTCCTCAAAGGAAGCAAGGAATTCAAGTCATCACCACTATGACAGTCAACCACTGTAAGATGCCACGGAACGAAATTTTGTTAACTGAAACATATGTACTTTCTCAAGATAAAAATAAGTAGCTCTTTGGCTGAAACATATGTACTTCTGTATAACAGGCTTAACTAATAAATGGCCGTGGTTAAATGAATAAAGCAGGTCAAAATGAATGATGTATTTACATGTATGCCAATGTCAAACACAAAAACAAAACAAATCCTAGACAAATAATAAGAAAATTATGCAAACTTATATGATAAGGGTAGAAGACATTTGTTTTATATTTAAGCACACAAAAGAAACAATTCGTAGTCATGGGAAGACCTATAAGAGGAACCTTGTACACATTAAAATAGCACTAAATTAACTGTTCATAATCGGATTAATAAAAACAAATCAGCAAGAGCTTTAGGATTTAATGCCCAAAGAAAGGAACTTAATCATATTAAACTGCAACGCTAATATCAAATAAGCAATAAAAATAAATAAGCAAAGGTATATTTCCCCCTGCAGAAACTCCTGCGAGAAATATCTCATCGTGATGAAAAATCAGGTGCAATTTTGCTTTTGGACTCTACAATATGCACAAAAATAACAAGGAGATACAAGAAAATGCATGATTGGATTTCTATACCAAGAAGTATTAGGACTCTCGCAGAAAGGGTGTTGTTTAAATAAAAAAAGATGCAATCCGGTACATTATTCGGATCAAAAATATCCTCCTGCAGTTCTACTCAACGAAGCTAAGCTCAAATCTGCTCAACAAAATGGTCGGCCACACAAATCCAGCCCAGTAAAACCCCTTGAACATGGGAAAAAAAATCCTTCTTTTACAGACAGCTCTAAATTAGGTGGCCATTATTTGCAGCCACTAATAATCAATTTCACCATATCATGAAAATGTCAACGAAGCAACCCATTTCCAGTGGGAAGACGAACAACCTAAATATAATCAGTTAGATTAAATAAAAAATGAGCAAATGATGGATTAGACAATGCAACAAGTCCTAGCTTCAAAAGGACAGAAAGATCCCAAAACCACAACGACAACAACGAAGAAAACGACCACTACAAAGTACAAACACCACCACCAAACAACAAAATCATGTAACAAAACAAGATAAGCTTTAAACAAAGAAATAACACAGAAGCAGCGTATTTGAACATCGACAACGGCTAAAAGCAACAAATTTCAAAAAAGATATAGAACAGCAACGGAGAAAGAACAAGCAAGAAACCAAAAAGAAAAGAAAAGAATTAATGGAGCAAGGATCTACAAGAGGTACCTTGGAGGATGCCACAACGCAAACGGCAAGCCGGGGGCGTTCCGATCGATCAAACCCTAAAAGAATGACTTCGATTATTTATCGAAAACAAAAGAAAGGTGTCTTTTTTTTATCGGGGTTCAAGCCTTGGACCCTCCTTTCTCTCTCGTTATGGAAAAGAAAATAAGAATAAGGAAAAATAATAAAGAAATCAATGAATAAAATAAGATTTACGTCAGTGGAACGGAAGACGAGATAGTCGACGGTCAGTGGTCACATGGATTGATGGCGCCAGAGCGGCGACGTGACCGAACTGGTTTTGGGTTGTTGCGGCGTTTGGAATGGACAAGTGAGAGAGAGAGAGAGCTGCCTGGCGACTGGCGTTTGGCTATGGTTGGAGTTTATAGCACAATCCGGTCAGATCCAAAGATTCGAAGGAGGACGTACGTCGCCAGCTTAACGAAAAGTTGTGAAATGTGATCTCATGGCCATTTTGGTAATTCTATTAACCAGATGAGAGTTTACTCCTTCTTCGTAGAAAGGTCAAAATCTCTAGTTTTCCTGCGTTTTTCTCTTCCTAAACTCTACACTCTACACTGGCCAACCGCTGTATGTAGGTGATCACTCATCAGAAGTAGACGTGTTCATGGGCCGGGTGGCCCGACGAGCCGGCCCGACCCTCAAACGGGTTTGAACATGTTTATAGGCCCGTGGGCTTAAACTCGGGTCAAAAAGCCCGGTTCATAATAAATTCGAGTCAGGCTCGGGTTTTGTCAAAATAGCCCGGCCCAACCTAAAATTATACTTAAAATGGGTTATGGGATTAATGTCCATTTGCATAAATTTTTTGATTTAAGAATGTAAAACTGTGTTTTAAAACGTAAAAGAAAAGAAAAAAACCATCTTGTAGGCCCATTGTTCATTTAAATAGGAAAAAAACCATATTAATTTTTAATTCTAATTTGAATAGGGAAAATTGTAACTTTTTTTATTAGGTCGGGCTTCGGGCTCGGGCTCAGGCTTCGGGCTTTTATCAGGGCCGGGCTTGGGCCCAAGTTATAGGCCCATTGGTCGGGCCGGGCTCGGGCCTAGCGTATTTCCACTAATGATGAGTAAAAGCTCGGCCTGAGCCCAGCTCGGCCCGGCTCATGAACAGGCATAATTAGAAGTTGTTGGTCTGTGGTGTCAGTTATCAGTGGGTCAAGTTAAAATGATTAATCTAGGGCTGTCAATGGGTCGGGTTGGAGCAACGGCCCGATGGGCCCAAACCAATTGGGTTGGTTGTTTGTTTCAGGAACTGAAATTGATGGGTTGGATTAGGGTTTTTATCGAGTCAGAATCAGTTCCACCTAATTTTGATATATAGTATTTTTAATAGATTTATTATGAATCGGGTCCATCCGAGTCAAACCCTGATTGTCCCAAAAACCGATCGGTTCGATCTTGAGTCTAAAATTATAGATCATATTAGGTTCAATTCGATTCCAAGTCTTTAATAATTCTTATCAGGTAGGTTACAGTTTTGTCTAGACCCAACCCATTGACAATCCTAAATTAACCAGCTCAGGTAAGCTTTGATTTGGATAGCCTTGGTCGGGTTGGATTCAATGCTGGCCTTACCCAATCCACCCATAATATACATTGCAAACTTATAACGCCCCGTTTGTTTAAGAGTGTTGTGTGCTTACCCAAGCAAAAGTTGCTCAAATAATTTGAATTCAGATTAGTTAAAGGCGATGAGTATTCTATACCCATAATAAATTCATAGGCCCCACTGTAAAAAAATGCGAATCCTATGTATTTTACTATTAGTGTAGAACATTATCATTGACAGCCCTTTCAGCTAATGTTTACTCAAATAATTTTTGGTGTCAGCATTTAGTCACGCTTTCACTTATGACTAAAGACAGAGGTGGGATAATGTTTTATGGAGTCTCCGTGAGTAATTAATACTCTATGAGATATTTATTTTTTGGTAGGGCCTAAAAAGTGTGAGAATGTGGGGAAATTTGGTCAATTACCTGATTAATCAATTCATCCCTACCAAATGCCAACAAAAGAACCGGCCTAAATATAACATTTTATCGAGAATAGTGGTTGGTTTGCCTAGGTTTAGTAATCGGGTCCGGTTCAAGTTGAGCCACATCCCTATTGTTTGGTGTTATAAGTGTAGGAAATCTGTGTTTGTCAAAGCCTAAGCCTAAGCCTAAGGTGATCTCGTGTGCGGTTTGGTTTTGAAGAAAGTATCAGGCTCAGTAAATGATGGTTTGGAAATTTATTAGACCAAATCTAACCATTTTAGTATAAAAATCAAACTAAACTGTTTTATTGAGGGGTCCAATTTTTTATACGAGGTGGGTCACTTTATTGAATGTAACCCAATAAAAATGAGTCCGGATCTCCTGCCCACATAACATTGCAATTATGCATGGAGAACATCTTATCCTCTTACATAATATTATATAGGGAGAGATGTTCCCAATTCACGGGGGTCGTGTGTTGACATGGGCAGACAGGAGATCCAAAATCAATAAAAATTCTAAATAATAAACACATATAGTTAGATTTACAATTTGATCTAATTTCCTGAAAACCGAACTGAAATTATAAATCAAAATTTAAAAATTTTCCAAATCAAACAAAAACATTTTAAAGTCCAAACCAAACGAACTTGCCAATTTCAGTTTGGTTTGATTTGATTCGGCCATCTGGACCAAATAATAAACACTACCCCTACCTAAGCCTGCCAAATTCCAAAATGAGGCCTAGTGTCCTATACTTCCTACGCTAACCAATAAAGGGGAATTTTTCTTTTCTTTTTGGCCACCAAAAGGGGAATGTTAAAAAGGAGGAAAATGAAGTACGCAATTCTCATGAACTTTTGCTCTATAGATAAAGTGGGGCCCATGAAAATATGCTCCACTAATTTGTAGCGTGTCATTTCATGAGTCACATTTCCAACCCATAATCTGATAATACTTAAACATTTACATTTATAATTAATATCTGTCCATTAGTTAATTAGTGTTGGTTTGAATTTCGTAAAGTTATACTGAAAGAGGTCACCTTTTTCATGATATACAGTATCAACTTTTCTTTTAAATCTGTTAATAACATATATTATTTTCATAAATTTTAATCTAATTTATCGATGAGATTCAATAATACCCAAATCTAAGACAAGGGATTTCAATTTAAACTCAAATATCAAATGATAAGTTGGAAAATCATGATCTATTGAAATGTGATCTCAAATGTGAATTATTGTTCTTACGAGTTCCAAATGCAAATTAAACATCTGGCCGGAAAATAATTATGTTCTAAATTTAAAAACACAAAACAGATTTCTTGGTTGTACATGTGTTTTTGTCTCTAAAACTGATGGTGTGCAATCCGGCTGAGTCCTAGTTGTCAACTATCTTGCCTCTGACCGGAGCTACAGGGAGCCTGAAATAGAGAAGATGAGGAAACTCCGGGGGAAACCCGGTATGAATGCTCCGAAGCTCAAGTTAGAATTCTTAGGCAAGATAAAATCAGATGGCGCAAAGTTCACGTACCTTGTTCTTGGGGGTAGGGAGCCTTTTATAGCCACCTCGTGCATTCACTCCTAAGCTTCTGTCAGGTCGGGTACGATT